GCCAAAGGGGTGGTGGTCCTTCCCCCACCTAGGTGCAGGTGGAATAGGGGCTGTGGCCACTCCTTCCTCAGGGGCAGCTGCTGGAGCTCGTTAGGGGCTGCTAGGTATTGAGACAAACTAAAGCCTTTTGTGGCTCCTCTTAACCCTATCCCCTCCCTGTCCTCCTCCCTAGGCAGCTGTGGGCATCTCTATGTTGCTCGGGGGGGGTCCCAGCAGTCCCCCACTGACCCCATACAAAGCATCCTGGCCAAAAAGAGCATCTCAAGGAGAGCAGAGCCCAGAGCTGCTGCACCAAGCACTGCTCCCCGCATCATCATAGGGCCTGGAGGATGCTCCCAGCCCCCACGTACCTCCCCTGGCCTCATCCCAAGAAAAGTCATTATCCTCCTCCCAGAATAGACAGTTCCGACCATCGATCTGCTCTGCCGCGTTGTTTATCCCTGAGCGGCTCTGCTTACAGAAAAAGCCATCTTCAACCCAAACAGCCGCTTCCGCTGCAACGCGACCCTGCGGCTGGGGCTGGGAGGGAGCTGCAGGGCTCCCGTGGGGAGCGAGCCCTCATCCCTGGCCCCCCATAGCTTCTGCAAGTCCCTGTGGGGCTATGTGTGGTCCCACAAGCACTGCTGTGCTCTGTGTGCCCAGCCGTGATGCAGCGATGCTCCCTTGGCTCCGGGCCCCTGCGCGGTCCCGAGGTCTGCAGGGTTCGCTCCTTGCGCTGCGGGGTTGCTCGTCCCACTGTCCCCGGCCTGATGGGCAGCACGGCTGCCGAGTGAAGGAGTTCGGCCCCCGGCCAAAAGCCCCCTCCCTGCTCGTCCCCTATCCCCACAGGACCTATTTTGGGCAGGAATGAGGAAGCTCTTCGTTCCACGGCTAAAAATAGGGATCTTTCTCCCATGTGGATCACTGCTCTCACACTGTATCCCGGGATGGGAGAGGGCTGGCGAACTCCCGAAGTCCTGGACACGGTGGGAGGCAACAATTCCCCCTGCCCCGACCTCCGTGTCCCCAGCCAGGTCGGGGCCCCCAGCCTGTCCCACGGCACCTGGGAGGGGGGAGGGGGGGTCCCTGAGGGGACGCGACCCCCGGACACAACGCTGCGCACTGCAGGGAGCCGAGATCGGGGGTCTGGGCGGGGGGCCCTCCCCAACCCCTCCCTCCCCTCTATGATTTAGGGGAAGGCTCACAAGGAGGGAGGAGGCAAAGGGATGCCGATGCTTCCATCTAGCGGCCTCCCGCTGGCTGTGCTGCCTGCTGGCGTCCAGTCCCCCGCGCTGCTAGCCGGCATCCCTCCGTGCAGTCCCCCCGAGTGGTGCCAGCCTCCCCTCCGACCCCTAGAAAGGGCCGAAAAGCAGCAGGCGCAGAGATGAAGACCCTTTTATTGCGGGTGAAGGAGGAGAGGGGCGGCTGGAGGACAGGGGCAAGGACGGGGACACCGGTGACACGGGCTCACTGTGGGATATGGCAGGGGTTGGCAGGACGGGCCCCTCGCCGTGCCAGCGGCCAGGCAGCCCGCAGGGAGAAGCTGGCCGGGGGGGTGCTGCGTGCACAGGGACAAAGAGGCCATCAGGTCACTGCAGCTCCCCGGCATGGGCATAGAGCCCCAAAGCTGGGTGCCCACAATCACGCTTAGCTCTGGCACAGAGCTTCATAAGGTGGCAGGGAGAGCGTGCCCTTGCCTGGCACGAGGCTATGAAGTCGCAGCAGGGCAAGGGGAGGATGCTGAGCATCCTGGCTTCCAGATGGCCAGATCCCATCCCCAAGGGATGCCCATGGGGTCCCCATCCCCAGCCTCACGCTCAGGCGAAGACGGCGGAGTTCTGCCAGTAGGAGTAGACGAGGAAGCCAGTGAAGGTGCTGTCTGTCTTCACACTGGAGTAGAAGCCGATGTAGTCCCCAACTCCCACCTGCACCCACACCTCGTCCTCCGGCTCCAGGCGAACCAGAGCCCCCCCAGAGAGGGAGGTGGGCTTGGGCCAGTTCCCGTAGTACTGGAAGAAGGAGGCGATGGAATGCCCGTTCTTCATGATGTCAAACTGCAGGCTGGAGCGGTAGACAGTGGCATGGACTGCAAAGTAGTAGAGGCCGGGCACCTCACAGGTGAACTTGCCAGTGTTGGGGTCGTAGTGGCCCTGCTCATTGATCAGGACCACGTCAAAGCGGATGGGCTGGTCGGCCAGTGGTGGGCTGCGGGACTCGGAACGCTTGGCGCTGAAGGCGGAGCGGGGGGCCACTGCACATTCACCCTGTGCCCCCTTCTCACCATGCATGCCATCCATGCCGGGGCTGCCCATCTCCCCACGGGGTCCGGGAGCTCCTGGAGGGATCACAGAGGGGACAGTGTAACCTTGAAGCTGCTGTCCCCAGCACAACCCCTGCCATCTGAGCTCCCCCACCTCAGCTGCCTAGACCCATCCCAGCGGGGTTCAGCATCCCATGGGTGCTGTCACTCTATCTGGGGATGCAACATACCCCACAAGGGCAGGAGATCAACTCCCAGGAGTCAAGGAATGGGTGTTGTACCCACACTGGGTTTCCTGAAGCAGGAGGTGGAAGGAAGGGAGAAACGCAGTGGTGCTGGTGGTGGCAAGTAGCTGACTCTTGGAGAGTCATCCATGCAGAAGAAGGGTGGTGGAAGCACAAAAGGGGCATTTTTGTGGGATTTCCTCCCAGCTTGGCAATATGGGGCAATGCCAGCGTTCAGACACAAGCTCATTCCCATGGCAAGGATCCCCTACTGACATGACTCCTTACTTACCTGGTGGGCCCATCTCGCCCTTCTCTCCTGGCATCCCCATCGCCCCATCCCGGCCATCTCGTCCGTCTCTGCCTGGCAGACCCTGGCCCCCGTGCAAGCCTGGGGTGCCTGGGATGCCTGGCTGCCCTGAGCACTGCCTGGGGATCTTGTTGTCTTCAATCTGCATGGAGCTGCTGATGAGCCCGAGGAGGAAGATGAGGAAGAGCTGCTTCATCTCGTCTGCTGTGCAGGGGCTGGGAGTGGGCACAGGACACAGGTTACACTCCTGTGGGCACCAGGTCAGAAGGCTGGCACCCTGCAGCTGCCTTCAATTCTCTCCCAGTTGCCTTTTTGGCAGGTGCTTCCTGCACCTGCTGCAACATCCCCATTGCCCACCCAAACCAGTGCCAGAAACAGCAGGGGACCAGGCAGGGGAGGCAATAACAGTGCACACATGCCAACACAGGGTTCTGGGTGCCGGATGGGCACTGCTGGCAGGATGCCCACGGGTGACACCATGCATGGGCTGTGGTTTTGGTAGACAGCAGTGCGTGGCGGGGCGGCAGCTCGGGAGCTGCAGCTGCATCGTGGCCCTGCCCTTGGCAGCATCCCCACGGCCGGCTCCCTGCTCCGAGCCACCCAGCTCCTTGCATGCAGCCATCCGGGGCTGCAGCATCGCACGGGGACGTGCTGGGACCACCCCGGTGCTGGGACCTCCCAACAGCCCTCCCATCCCCGGCGCAGCCCCCATCCCTTTTCCCATGGCCTTGCCCTAATGAAGTTTCTCTCTCTCCTCTCCTGGACGTGACGGCTGCAACAAAGAGGAAAAGGAGGAGAAATGTGGCTCTTTTCTGTCCCAGTGCCAGAGCTGGGACCCCACTGTGTCCATGCCTCCCCACTCACCGCGGTCCCCCTGCTCCTGTCCCCAAGCCCCGCTCTGCTCCGCTGGGATGGCTGCGGCTCTTCCTGACCGCTTCTCTCTGACGAAGGCCCGAGGAGAGGCTGCCTCTCCACCCCCCCCCTCCTCCCCACGTCTCTCCTCCCAAACTCCAAAGGAAATCACGGGCCCCGGGAGCCAAAAACTACAAGACAAGGGGAAAAAGAAAAATAATCCCGCGGTGTCGGAAGCGCTGTAAGCAGGGGGAAGGGAGAGCCAGACAAACAGCCCAGCAGGGCGAGGGGAGGCGTGGGATGAGAATCATCAGCGCTGAAGGCATCTGGGCAGCAGCACAGCGTGATGGAATGGGGAATATGAGAGAAAACGGAGGGAAAGCAGAGTGAGAGAGTTGGAGAAGGGAGCGGGAGTCCCAGAGGTGTGTGATGCCCTGGCTGGTGCTTTGTCCCTGGCAGAAGGGATAAGGCAAGAGGGACAGTGAGGCACGCACAGTGTGGCAGTGCCAGTACTAGGAGCACCCGTGGGGGCTGCAGAGGGTGCAGGCGTGGTGCTGCATGGTTCAGGGATGCGGCAGACTGCAGGTGCAGGCAGCAGGCAGGGAGACTGCAGGCATGTGACGAAGCTGGGATGGTGCTGGGCTTTACAAGGCACTCCCAGGTCTCCTTGAATCTGTTCCAGCACTGAATGCATCCAGGGGATGCTGCAGGGTGCAGTGGTGAGGGTGACACTGCTGGCAGAGCCTTCCTGGCCCACATACCCAAAAGCTGGGTGCTTGCATGGGACCTGGCTGCTCTCCCCTAGGTGTGAAGGGGCTGTTGGTTTTGGCCAGCTGACAGCTGGTTTGTGGCCACAGGGTGTTGCCAGGCTGTGGCCAGTGGGGTGGCTTGGTGCCAGCATGGCCAGCAAGGGCAGAGCCCTGGCTGGAGTGAGTTCTGCTCCCTGCACCATGGAGATGCCTGCATGACACTCTCCAAGAGCCATCCATCTCCCTGGGGTCCCCCATCCCACTGAGGGCACAGCAACCAGCCCATGTCCTCCCTGCAACTGGGACAGTCCTGTGTCCTATTATTCCTGCCCACGCTCCTGGCTTTCCTCTCTTAGCCCACGCCTCCATTTCTGCAGTATAATCTGGCAGACCCTCTCCAAACACACCTCCTGCTCCATCAGCTGCTCATGCTTTTTATTTTGCTGTCTCTGGGGCTGGGGGACAGCCTGTAGCCCAGCTGACCCTGGCCCAGCCCTGCTCCATCCACGGAGCATTAACAGCTCTGCTGCTGAGGGCTCAGATTCCCTCTCCGGGAACTCAGTCCTGCAAAAAGCCCATGGCATCTGGGCACTGAACTGGGCCTCCGCTCCTCTTTCCTCGCCATCTCAGGGCTGGAAGCACTCCACGGGGTCGTTGGAGTCGGGCAGGATGTTGCAGTTGATGGGCCAGAGGATGCCGAGGAGACCCAGGGAGTGCTGGCAGCGCAGCTCAGCAGCCAGGCAGACAGCACGGCAGGGCTGCAGGACACCCCCATCTGGCGTGCACTTGGGCACAAAGAGGCTGCAGATGAGCAGGCGGAGGTGCTGGTAGCAGGCGAGCTCCATCAGCGTCTGCAGGAGAGAAGCAGTGAGCACAGTGCGGTGCAGAGCACCCAGCTGCAGCCCAGCTGCTCACCTGGTAGTCTTGCAGCACCTCGGCAGCTCCGGCCTGGTCTGGGATGGCCAGCCAGATGTTGGGGAAGGAGGTGGCATTGTAGCCCAGCCCCAGGCACATCTCCACCTCCACCGGCTCGCAGATGGAGCCTGTGCAGGGTGAGGTGCAGGGTTAGGGTTGAGTTAGGGGTTATATATCACGAAGGATCCGATGGCCTCCAGGTGTGCACCTGGGTAGGTAGGTGGAGGCTGTGGGATGGCTGTCGGGGGGCGTCCCCCAGCTGTGGGCACTCACCAAATGCAGGGTAGGAGACCCCAGTACAGTTCAGCTCATCGGTGCCATCGGGGCAGTCGTGCCAGCCGTCGCACACGGACTCCAGTGCCCGGCACTCGCCGTTGCCACAGGAAAACTCTGCGGGGCTGCAGGTCTCTGCCAGAGCAGGGGATGGGATGGGCACAGGCACAGAGCCGGGGGACCTCCAGCCCAAGCTCCTGCTCCAAGAAGGGTCAGACGTGGGGGAAAACCTGGGCTTCCTTGAGCCTGGCCTTGGAAATCCACAAGGATGGAGACCACACAGCCCCGCCCCGGCACCCTGCTCCCTGCCTGCCTACGTACTTTCTGTGGCATTGCGGGCTTGATAGGTGGCAAAGAATCCAGTGTCTGCTACTCCTTCATCTGCCACAAAGAGGACTGTCATGACGTGGCGTGACGAGGTCAGGTCAGGTGGCAGCTGGTGGCCACAGAACCTGCAGGGAGATGGGGCAAGAGATGGCATTGGGTGTGCAGAACCCTAAACCTCATCTTCTGGCTCACTTCAGCATCCTGCTGTGTGACTCAGTTTCCCCATCTGAGCCACAGGACCCACACCTGCCCATGAGGCTGGCAGTCCCGGTGCCTGCACTGTCGTGAACCTCCACGAAGTCAAAGCTGCAGTCCTCGTGTGACTCCAGGCTGAAGTTGTGGAAGTGCAGGTCTATGATGTGACCCAGGGGCACGGAGATCTGCCAGAGGCACAGCTATGGGGACAGCCGTGAGAGCCATGAAGCCGGGCAGGGGCACGGGCTCTCCCTGACAGGAGGAGGCCTTCCTTCCTCCTGCCCT